TCTAGAGCCTCCAGATTGCAGAACATCTGTCGCCTGACCTAGGAAAAACAGCTGTTGGAGAGACATGTCTGGTAGAGTATCTTTTTTCTGATGTCCACACGAGTGTTAGCTAGAATGCTATTCCTGTTCTCTGTTTTGCCGAGCGAGACAGGATGCGGGATATTGCCATTTCTGTACACCTTACCTCGGTGTGACTATGAAAGGCTACGGTGATAGCTGCGGTCATCGAAGACTCATGTATACATCCTCTCACATGGATCCATCATGTACAATTAATCACGAGCCAGGACTACAGGGTACGGACCCGTGTGACGAGGCTGGGCAAAACAGGGGTTTGACGAGATGAACCCCACGAGCCACAGCTTGGCTCTGGGCGGCACTTGCCACACTCGCCACTCAATATTTCGATGTCACTTGGCCCATCCTTGCCCATCACAATCTGGCACATGGAACTGCGCAGTTGCAAGCTGCAGCCCTCGGTCAATTCTTCCAAACCTGCCTTCTCTTTGCTTAGACGCACTTTGACCATGACATCAACATGTCGGATCAGAATTATCGGAAGCCTTTATTCCTGGCCTTAGCTGGGGCCGTCGCCCTCACTGCGGCCTATTATACCTACACGCAATATGCGAAGCGCTCCCGAAGAGAACCCTCCTCTCTCCACCGCAGCAATGCCATTCGCAGACCGAGGAATAGAAGGCGCTGGCGTCGTGGCTTCGAACAAACGAGCCTCGATCACGATCCAACTGAGCGAGCACTCGAACATCTGGAACTGCGAAATGCAAACAGACAAGGATACGGAGAATACGAGAACAAATGGTTCTTTTCTACACCAGAGCAGACACAAGGAGTGGATTTGACGCTAATCCCGTGTAACTTGAGCTCTATCAACGACTACCTCCTGCAGTCCCCGCCGCAGCTGCTACCCGATCGACAAGAGGTCATCCTCTGGCATCTCCACGGCACCTTTGTCCAGAACTTTCTGCTGGAGGAATATCCAGAGGGTTATATCATCGGGGATGATGTTTGGATGCTCGCACAGGCCATGGAGCGCCTTGGAGTTGCTCCAGAGAGTGTCTTCCAAATAGCGAAAGCACATGACGAGGGAACGCTCATTTACGCCCCTGAATGGACCCCATCATTTCCTGCTAGCCCCAGTCCCAGTGGCAGAATTCCCCCTATACAGACCGATGGCGCCATGGATCATGGTGGCTTGGCTCCTCGCGAGGCGCTCCAGGCGTTGGCGGATCCCGACGATGCGCATAGCGACATTTCATCAGGTAACAACGGGGAGGATCCCGAAGGAAGCCAAAACATGCTTGATCTCCTTTACCATATCGCTGGCGAGCAGGCACGACGAGAAGGCTATATCCACCGTGGTGTCGAGTGTAACAGCTGCGGTATACATCCCATTCGAGGCATTCGCTATCATTGCGCAAATTGTTTTGATATGGATCTCTGCGAAAGCTGCGAGGCTAGCTCTTCACATGGGAAAGGTCATGTCTTTTACAAGATCCGCATCCCGGCACCATCGCGCGGAAACATTAAGCAGGTCACGCCTGAGTGGTATCCCGGCACCCCCAGCGCATTTCTCTCTTCTCTGCCAACGAGTGTGTCTAAGCCATTGCTTGAAGAGACCAGAATGGAGCGCACCGAGATGGATGCACTTTATGAGCAATTCAAATGTCTTGCTGGCCATTACTTTCCCGCAGATCCGACTGGTTTGGGGTGTGCTATTGATCGGAAGGGATTTGATGCATACTTCATCCCTTCAACCGGAGACAAACCTTCGCCGGCGAATTTGATATACGATCGAATCTTTGCGTTCTATGACACGGATCAAAATGGCCTAATTACCTTCGACGAATACATACGCGGCCTTGCGCGCCTGCAGGACAAGAGCCGATATGCGAGGCTGAAACGCATTTTCGAGGGTTACGATTTGGATTCAGATGGATACGTTGATCGCAAGGACTTTCTTCGTATGTTCCGAGCGTATTACGCATTGAGCAAAGAGCTGAGTCGGGAAATGATCAACACCCAAGAAGATTTTGGGTATAACGAAGAAGAGATCCGAGAAGTCGTCCATGGTAGCCAGCCCATCAGTGCTGCTTTTGGCGGAGGCACTCTTTACGGCCACGAATCTCGAACAGGCCAGGGTAAGGAACGTCAAGCGGATGGAGATCTGCAACTTTCGAACGGCACAAGTGGCGTCCTGCAACCTGATGGGGATATGAGCGGAGATCGTGCCCGAGCTATCGGAAATGCTGCACTTGGTGGTCGGACCCGGAACCACCCCTTCAGATCGTTCAGACAGGAGCCTCCGGAGGATGAGCCGCTGATGTTACTCCCAATAGGAAGCAATTTCATGCAGTCGGGCATGGAGCAGGATGAGGTGACCGAGGAAGAACTTACTGGTCCCGATGCCCCGTTGCAGACATATACGTGGCCCCCAATTCGGACACCAGAACCTCAGGATATTACCGAGGCACTTGGACAAGAGGTACCTCTAGATGAAATAACAGATCCGGTTGACAGGACCAGGGTCCTCTTTGCCCAGTCGCAGCGTCTCGATGCCGAAGGGGACCGAGCAGAGGAAATTTCACGTGCGAGAGCTGTTGAGGAAAGATGGCGGCGAAGACAATTCTATCTTGATCGAGAGGAAGGCTTGACGAGACCACCAGGCTACACTGAACCCGACAGTTCAGACGAGGAGGACGACTTATCGGAACACAAAAAGAATGGTCGGAACGACGCCAGTCCTCGGAGAGCATCTATGGCATCAAGATCCTCATCCAAAGTTCGTTTTGATGATAGTGCCATCGACGGAGACTATGAGACGCGTTCAAATGCATCGTCTCGTAGCATTCCTGTCAATGAAAGATGGGGCGGTTACGAGCTTGGCCAGGCCGAAGCAGACATTGGCAAAGACATCCTCTACCAAGCTGTCCAGCAAGGGTTCAACGAGTTGCTTGATGTGCTATTCAAGGACGCGGAAGACGAGCACATGGCTGCAAAGCAGACAGCTGTTGATCGACATCGCTTCGAGTACGAAAGACAACAATTCGAGGAAATGCTTGATGAATTGGATATTACAATCGATGAGGCAGAAGAAACTGCGATTGAGAAAATAAGACGGAGGAGAAAGAAGGAAGAGGAGCAGAAGCAGTTGGCTATAATTGATGCTGCCTCCGTGCCGAAACTGGGCAATGAAAGCTCAATCCCGCAAGATTCCGAAGATCATATAGGACTGATGTTCGGCTCTCAAGGTCTGTCCGGTCAAAGGGTAACCCAGAGTCCTGCCACTGAAACAAACGGTTCTTACCGTGACCCGACGCTACCGCAGTTTCGGCCTGACGAATCGGAACCAGCAAGTCCAGTTCCAAATGTGTACCCGGATCCGCCCCAGGCGCCGCCCTTGTTTTCGGAATTTGGACCTCCAAATCCATTTGAAGACGATCCAGAGAAGGCTCTCAAAACTTATTACCTCTGGCTCCGGCATGATGAGATCGATGACGAAGCAGACCGCCGAGGCGGCCCGGGAAAGCTCAGCTTTACGGAATTTGCACGCAAAATGGTGTCTGAAGATGAGACGACCAAGGCTTTAGGGGACAGAGACAAGAGCAAAGGCAGTGGCAAGGATCGAGATACGTGGGAGAGCAGTGCTGATCTAGGCAGGCTGGCATTTGTGGGCACTTGGTTGGAGATGGCTAGTTTTTAGCGATACGGTAGCTTGGTGTTGGAGGACTAACAATGCTTTGACGGTTTAGACTGTATTATAAATAAGTCCATGATGGCATGACCAGGGAAAAAGTATGATACCCAAGGAGTTTCTCTGGAGCGGAAAATTCTTGTTACATAGGAACAAGGCCCTGACCGGCTTGAATGTTAAGCCAGATTGTTCCAAGGATCTTTCGGGTCGTCGTAATCTCCATAATATACGAGGCATATTGTTGTGCGTACGGAGTGTTCTAGAGCTGACGAGATGGACTCCGTACAGCCACATGCCCACCTTGAGCTCACGGTGCAAGGCTGAGATAATTACGGAACGGACGTTTTTCCATTTCCGGCTTGGCGTTTCGTGAGCCAACTCTTCCTACTGCCCTTGACTGCCTTTGGAGAAATCAATCTGTTATTAAACTAACGACTTTGCGAGAACCAATTCATGCGCATGAACTTACTTCTGCCACCTTTAAATCATGAGAGACCCAGTTTCTGTGCTACGGATTGCTGATTGGGTTGTAAGAATGACTGAGCGCAAGCAGACTGTGACCGTTTAGATGGCATCAGCTGCATCCCGTGACAGCAGGCTGCGATGAGAGCGCTCGAGACATAGCCGCCACGCCACGTTGCAGGCCTCTGATCTCCTTGTACTCGGTACTCTGCACCAACAGGGAATTCGAATATTATGAGCAACCACACTTCTAGAGGGATGTTGACCGCCGTGAAATGCGAGCGAATGAGGCCACTGCACGAGACTACGTTCGAAGCTCTGAGTGGTCAGAACCAAACAGGCCCCTGACGTTGAGTATCAAAATCCCGTGCCATCTGGCACGCCAGCAACGAGGGCAGTCGACTTATACCGCCCACCTGGGCTTCCGCAGGCTTTGGCGCTGTTGATTTCTGCTTCAACATGTCTCTCTTTACAGATCTGTTATCGAGCTACAAAGACAAGCGAGTAGCACAACACTCTTTTACAACTAGGAATGGCCCATCTTACCCACCCGTGGATGGCAATCCGCCGGCCGCGGAATCTCAGGCGACAGAGGTGGATCGCCGGAGGCGGCTTCTTGGGAGGTATACGCCAACAGTGCAGTTGTGGGAAACCACATTCTCGAAATTTTGATCTGTGCCTTCTCTTCCCCCGGCACAGGTTCGGCTCTAGTCGATTCAATACCGTCTTCTTGTTGTTGTTCCGACTATTCTACCATGCATCTTCCTTCGAAGTCGCCCACACCGGTTACCCCAAAAGGCTCTACTTGCCACTTTTCTCCGAGACAATGTCGAAGCCTCCTGAAGAAGCCAGGGAAGAAAAGCCCCTCATCACCCCTGCAAATCAAGGGCTTCCAGACTTGTTCAAGACTTTCAAACGCTTCTCGACGAAAGAATGGTTGGAGACGCTGCTCCAAGACCCCTCTGATTTCAAGAACCTCAAGGTCAACTCAATCACGTGGATCAAGGCTCTCGCCTCCCCGTTCTCCCATGAATTCATCCAGTTCATTGTCGAGGACTCTGTTAGCCGCCAACAGACGCGTATTGCCGCTGGCCGAGAAGAAACTGGTGACTGGGTCCTCGTCGGCTGGAATTGGGCCTCGGGGGACACGCCATCCGATCATTATAAGCTCCCGCTGCCACTCCTGTCAGTCACTTTCGATGATCCCAACAAGAAACCGGACTTGCGAGCGCTGGCTTACGTGCTGTCTGCGACGACGGAAAAGCATCCTGCCTATAAGTTTCGGAGAGAAATGTGCTGGTGGTACGCCGAGACTGTGTTGGAGGTGATGCATGAACAATTTGGTGGGAAGGTCAAGGAATGGGAGTGGTCGAGGTATCGATATTCGTTTATTGTTAAGACGAGCTTCATCCGGCGCAGAGCCTTGACCAAACATGCCGAGTCGTTCAAACGCCAGCTGGCCGAGGAGATGAGTTACTAGACTGCATCGTCTGGATAGGTTATGACCGAATGGTCATTTTCATGGCCCCGGAGTTGGACATTCTAAATCACCGGAGGTCCTGGATTAAAAAATGAGATGCGTGGAGAAGGCAGTGGCTCGATGCCAGACCATAGAAGATAGAGTCAAAATACCCCCCGTTGAACTGATCCAAACACTCCTCCGCACTTCACAAACCCCCAAGGCTGTTCATGACTGCATCGCCGAAAATTAGCCGCTCCGCGTCATCCCTCACTATCCCACTTCCAATTCAACCTACAAGTACCTCTCGCACAACACTCAATCACAACCCCTCCTCTTTCAGCCCTCCTCTTCAAGGCGATAGTAGAGAGCTACTCCTATCGCTCAGTCCACAATGTCCGGTCCAGAAGTCCATCATCTCTTCCATCATCCCATCGCCGACCACTCCTTCTCTGCTGACCGCCAAACTCTTGCCGTCGCCCGAGAAAATAATGTCGAGCTGTACCACAGATCCGGCTCCAAGTTCACGCTGAAAGATGAATTGAAGGGCCACGACAAGACGGTCACGGGCGTGGACATCGCCCCCAACAGTGGGATGATCGTGACTTGTTCTCAAGGTGAATCTGACTCCCTGCGCCTGTTCGATACATATCACTGATGCCTCATGTTACGACGACAGACCGTAACGCCTACGTCTGGGAACCCTCCCCGTCCGGCGAATGGAAACCAACCCTCGTGCTCCTGCGTATCAACCGCGCCGCCACCTTCGTGCGCTGGTCACCTTCGGAGAAGAAGTTCGCTGTTGGCTCCGGTGCCCGTGTCATCGCAGTCTGCTACTTTGAGGAAGAGAATGACTGGTGGGTCTCAAAACACTTGAAAAAACCCATTCGGAGCACCATCACTACAGTGGCGTGGCACCCGAACAGCGTTCTTCTGGCGGCTGGCTCTACGGATAGTCATGCCCGGGTCTTTTCCGGTTTCATCAAGGGCATCGACGAACGCCCTGAGCCGAGCGTGTGGGGGGAGAGATTGCCCTTTAATACCGTGTGCGGAGAGTATTTAAACGATGCGGCGGGGTGGGTTCACGCCGTGTCCTTCTCGCCCAGCGGTGACGCCTTGGCGTTCGCCGCGCACGACAGCAGCATTACGGTCGTGTACCCGAGTGGACCGGACCAGCCGCCTAGGGCTATGTTGAACGTCTCGATGCAAACCCTTCCCTTCACCTCGTTGATCTGGAATGGTGAAGCCGAGATCATCACCGCGGGGTATGATTGCGAGTGCTTCCGGTTTCGAGGCGGTGAGCAAGGCTGGGAGTTGGTCGGCAGCGTAGAGATGCACAAGCGCCCGGGTATGGGTGCGATGAGAGAGGAGTCTGCATTGAACATGTTTCGGCAAATGGACTTGAAGGGCAAGGTCAAGGATGATACTCAGCTAAGCACCACGCATCAGAACACGATCAACACAATAAGGGCCTTCGAAGGAGGTCCGGGGGGCGTGAGGAAGTTCAGCACAAGTGGTGTTGACGGGCGAGTTGTCATCTGGACGCTTTGAGGGGCTGCGAGCATCAATAACTTGGGCTCAATGCTATAGTGTTCAATGAACCGCTGGACACGTCTGATTGTCAGATGAGAAAGACCTATCGCAGCATAGAATCTAGATTCTAACAGGAGAACAGCCCCTTTGCGATAGCTCCCATTCTTCTTGTTACATCCATTTTCCCGTCCTGCGTCGCCCCTTTTTCGATACGCTGGGAGTGGTGGTATGATGGCACAGATCTGCTCGGTTACTAGCGTCATTATCACCCTGGACTGTCCTCATTCTGCCCTTCTATTGCTTCAGCATCATCGTCATCGTCATCGTCATCTTCTTCTCTTCCCTCTTTTCCTTCAAACTCACTCGCCCGATCTCAATCTGCACCCACCGCTGCCTCGGCATCCGCGTCAATCGCCCTCATCCTCACTGTAAACTCCAGCTGCAACCGCCTTAGCCAATCTCTCAAGGCCTCCGCACCGACTTCACTTGTGACTGCAGTCTCCCTTGCTTGGCTCAATTGCTCTCTGACATTCAGGATCAACTTCCTCTTTCTGGCCACCGCCGTGGCGCGAGGATTTCTCTTCCTCGCTTCATTACGCTCATGCAAAGCCTCGGAAACACGCGTACCCACCTCGACCACGTCGTCAGGCAGCCCGATCGCCCTCGCAAGGGCTAAGCCGTAGAACTTTTCCTCCTCGTACCCGTCTGTAATCTTGTACCGCATGGTCATCCTCGAGTAATCTTCGCTGATGTCCGCTGATAAGTGCAGATTCGCGACGCCAGCGCGATCGGCCAGTATGCGCGGCAAATCGCGAAAGTGCGTCACGAACCAGCCATAGGCCTTGGACTCAATCAGTGCTTCGGCAATGGCGATCGCAATCGCCAATCCATCTACCGTGCTGGTGCCACGCCCCAACTCGTCGACAATGACCAGGCTGCGCGGAGACATGTTGCGCAATATAAATGCCATTTCACGCATCTCAGAAGCAAATGTGGAGACGTTTGCTTCGATGTTGTCGTCTGTGGAGATGCGAGCAAAGAGTTCGTGCGAGATAGGGAAGGAGGCATACTCGGCCGGCACAAAGCAGCCGATCTGTGCCATTATGGCCATCAGTGCAACAGAGCGGATGTAGGTCGACTTCCCGCTCATGTTGCATCCAGTGATGACGTGGAAGCGGTTTTGTGGTGTGGCGTATACGTCGTTTGGTACAAATCTGTCGAGCTGGTGCTGCACCTTTTCGCGGATGGGGTGTCGGCCAGACTTGATCATCAAGGAGTCTAAGTGGATCTCGGGCTGGACATACTCGTTGATGGATGTCGTGACGAGTTGGGCGAAACTCGCGAGCATGTCGAGCATCGCGATGGACTCACTGATCTTGAAGAGTGGGTGAATGGTGCGGCGCACTTGGTCGATGAGCTCTTGCACGGTGGCGTCGGATAGGCAGATTACTTCATTATGGGCGTCCTTGAGCTTCTGGTTCATCTTGATGAGATCTAATGTCTGGCATTCGATATATTTGTTCCTTTAGTAGGTATTGATGAATATTTCGGGGATGGATTTGTCTTCGATCTCGCTAGCTGGGAAACGGAGGTAGTATTGTCTGTTGGAATCGTATTTGAGTTCGATGGCAATTTCACCCTCTTCTACAACAGGTTATCATATGTTGTTCTTGAAGCTCAGACTGCTCCATACCTTTGAGCTGATTGAACATATCGTAGACATCTGCGTTGAGCTCCTTGTATGCCTGACGAGCGACGTCCAGGAAACTATTGACCCCGGCCTCCTCTTTCTTAGCATGACTGGCAAGAGCCCCTTGAAAACATACCTGAATGCCATAGACCCTCTGGTTTCGTAGCTCGAGTGGTTTAGATGAATAGCACACGTCAGCATTGAGACAACGTCCGAGCAAACTTTCCACTTCCATGTAATTCTCTTGATCGCAAAGCTATATGTCAATTAGTCGAGATAACTAGGCAGCGAGGATTCTAGCTCACTTGACGTATCATCTGGAGCTCTTCACTGCTTGCTCCAGCAAGAGCCTGCCAGATTGGTTTGACGCCATCCACAAGCATCTTGAGCATGAGAACATTGTTGATTGATTGTTCCATGAAATGAAAATCTTGCCTTGTTGAAATGATAACAAGCTGCACGACTCAGTATTCGACAGGACAATGGGGGATTTCAATCACGAACCGCGGCTAGCACACGATCGGCGTCAATAAAAGATTTGAGTGCTGTTCCCCGTTAGCAGGTTCTTCTAATTCAAAGAACCTAGTACCGGATCGGACTGTAAAGAACATGTCTTCCTTCGATGTAAGTTCGCTGAGAGCTTGCTGTCTCTTTCTGATCTTTTCCGCATCGGTCGACGGTTGCAGAACGTTGCTTCGAAGGAAGCGAGCGCCCATTGGCGTCAAAGTCTGGTTCAACAACCCGAAGAGACAGTCTCGGGACTGGCCGTTCTGGAGATTCTGGATCAGTTCAAGGGAAGCCATTGTGGAGAGATCTATCATTGTCGACCCTTCCGAAGGCTCGAACCTAATCCGCAGCGTTTGCGGAGCGAATGTCAACTCCATGGTCAGATCGATGTATTTCAAAGCCTGTCCCTGTCAGGGTGACGTAAAAGATAGGGCGTCGACTGCCGAACATACTGCCGAAAAACAGCATGTTGCAAAGTAATTTCCTGTGATAGACAACTTCAACGATTCCAGATCGTCGGGAAAGGCCAGATAATGGACATAATCGTGACCGCTGGTTTCAGACCAGTATTTACGCTCGATCCCGGTCATGGCAATATTAGTCCTTTGCACCTCGAGGTTCTCGGCAACAATCGAAATGAGATTCGAATCGTTGGCAGTCTTCATGTAGATAATTTCAGAGGGAGCAAAGACTTTGATTTTGTGGCATGTACGAGCATAGGTTTGAGTGTCGGTAAATTGGCAAAGGACAGCTTCAGAAGTGGAAACGTTAACAAAGGAGAGGCCAATGGTAGGAGATACACCGCGTGATTCGCTGACTGCACAGATGATTTCATTGTCACTGTAGCTGGTGGAGGTTGCCGCAGTCCTGGGGCGCGACCTGCTGCGAGTCTGTGGCCTTGAAGTAGTTGTTGTTCGCCTTGCGGCCGTAGTGTTTCTGCTACTAGTAGAGATCGATTGTGGCTCGAAAGCCATAGCCATAGATTTGACTCTAACGCCGGGCCACGATGGCAAGAGGATGAACAATAGCCAAAGGGTGAAGTGAAAGTGAAGGCTGCTGTCACCGGCCCTGACCAGGCTCGGGTTGGGGTGTGAGGAGTGGTTGGAAGAGGAAGCTTTGCCGCGCACGCTCCCCCTCACGAGGCTGAAGCCCACCGACGTCGATAATTTTATTTTCGAGGACTGCCAGCCCTGAACCAACTCGACGAGGTCAAGATCATTTTCGAACGTAAGCCCAGAATGGCCACCCTGGCACCGCCTCCCAGCAAACGCCAAAAGATCGCTGCGGAAGAGAAGGCAGAAAAGGCACTCGAAGAATCAAAAATACCAGATAACCTGGGCGGCGTGAGGGTACAATTTGTCGACCAGAGCACGGGAAAGTTGACGGGACCGGTGGTCTCAGTTCCTGTGAAAGATGCCACGGTCAAGAACCTGGAGACACTGTTGAATACAATACAAGGCCATGTAGGAAAATCAACGTGAACCAGAGAGTGGCGTGGAATGCTGAATTTCTTTCTCTCAGGAGCCCACCGAGAAATTGCCTTATCGCTTCTTCTTCCAAAATGATCGAAATCGGATTATCAACGACGCCGCGCATTCCATTTCCGAGGTGGAAACGGACTTGTACAACTCCATCCTCAAGCCCGGCTTTAAAACCACTGAAGACCATATCATCCTCCAGTTCACTCCTCAGGCGGTATTTCGAGTCCGTGCCGTTTCACGATGTTCCGCGTCAATAGCAGGGCATGGGGAACCTATACTTGCAACTGCATTCTCGCCAGAAACATCTTCTAGGATGGCCACGGGTAGTGGGGACAATACCGCACGAATATGGGACTGCGATACCGGAACACCATTACATACCTTGAAAGGACATACAAGCTGGGTTCTTGCCGTTTCATGGTCTCCCGACGGCAAACTTCTTGCCACAGGAAGCATGGATAACACCGTGCGGCTATGGGACCCAAAATCGGGAGCAGCTCTCGGCGGGCCTCTGAAAGGGCACACAAAATGGATCACAAGCCTTTCGTGGGAGCCATACCACAACCAGGCACCTGGTAAACCGCGATTGGCGTCAGCCTCAAAAGATGGCACGATCAGAATATGGGACATACCGCTACGCAGGTGTGAGCAAACTCTTTCCGGGCACAAGGGATCGGTGACTTGTGTGCGATGGGGCGGGCTTCATCGCGTATTCACCGCCTCCCAAGACAAAACGATCAAAGTATGGAACTCACGAACGTGGAATTGTTTGCATACATTATCCTCACACACCCACTGGGTCAATCACCTTTCGCTTTCTACAGACTTCGCCCTAAGAACATCCTATTACGACCACACGGGTAAAGGCCCGTCATCAACTCAAGACAAGATCGAGAAAGCGAAGAAGCAATTCGAAGAAGCAGCACGCCACGGAGGCGAGTTGGTCGAAAGACTCATCTCTGCATCGGATGACAACACCATCTTCCTGTGGGAACCCTCGTCCTTCGACCCGGATTCGAAGGCGACGCCCAAGCCTATTGCGCGCTTATTGGGCCATCAGCAGCAGGTTCTCCATGTCTCTTTCTCCCCCGACGGCCACTACATTGCCTCAGCCAGTTTCGACAACAGCGTCAAACTGTGGAACGGCCGAGACGGGAAATTCATCTGCACCTTACGAGGTCACGTGAGTTCCGTGTATATGTGCGCGTGGTCGAGTGACAGCAGATTGCTGGCAAGTTCGAGTAAAGATACCACTGTCAAAGTGTGGGACGTGAGGACGGCCAAGTTGAAGATGGACTTGCCGGGACATATGGACGAGGTTTTCGCCCTGGACTGGTCGGTTGACGGGACCTGCGTGGCGAGTGGTGGAAAGGACAAGCTTGTCAAGGTGTGGAAGCATTGAGTTCGTCAAAGATCGCTGTTGCTTTGAACACGATGATGGATTCGTTGCGGCAATATTTTGTGGCTGGGTGCATAGAGACGACAGGACGAAGACTTGAGTGATACCCACGATTTAAGTGTCATATTGGATACTAATGAAATATGTGCAGTTATTTTTTATTCGGTGAATTCTGTATAATTCTGGATTGTTACAAGCAACCACGACCCTTCCCAGCCATCCGTCTGGGGATCCTAATCGGCGTTTTCCCAGACGATAAAAAGAGTATTGAATTCTCCCGTCACCCCCTGATCTATCTCTCTTCTCCTCTTACATTCTAAACCCGGGTTTTTGTCCAGGAGGGTTGTAGATGATCTTCCTCGTCTTGATAGGTGCCCACTTGTATCGTTTGATCCAGCCACTCAGAGCCAACAAGGCAGTGCCAATGATCAAAACTTTGATTCCCATCTTTTTGCGCTCATCCATTTCCGGCTCTGCAGTCCAGTTCAAGAACTCAACCACGTCCTTGGCCATTTGTGAGCTGGTAGCGGGTGTGCCGTCTTCATATTCAACCAGTCCATCATAAAGAACACGAGCCATCGCGATACCTGTACCGGGGAAATATGGATTGAAGTTCAGGCCTGACTGGACAGCCGCACCCGCGGGTGGTTCGTCGGGGTACCCGGTCAGTAAGCTGAAGATATAGTTGCAGCCGCCGTGACGGGCTTTAACGATGAGGGATAGATCCGGAGGGAGAGCACCATTGTTGGCGGCACGGGCAGCTTCGTCGTTCTTGTATGGGGCCGGGATGTAGTCTGACAGCTTGCCGGGTCGTTTCTCAATCTCTCCCTCATCATTCGGCTCAGTGTCGTACTCATTTTCTTCCGCTAAGGCCTTGGCTTCGTCGACAGTCATTATTGTACCGACCAGTGACCGATATGGGATTCGCTTGAGGGAATGGCAAGCGGCGCAGACTTCACGGTAAACCTGGAACCCTCTTCGGAGACTGCAAAATGTCAACTCGACATGCTCGACACTGTTGTTTGGATAGCTCTTACGCAGCGTGATCGAATGTTTTTGTCCATTTTGTATGTTCCCACGGATACTGGGTTGGATGTAAACTTGAACCTGCCGTCAGTCGCCTGTAGCTCTCGATCATTTCTAGGGAGCTTACCCCTCTTCCGCTGGAGTCATAGCATAGACATCTTGTCCGAACAGATGGTAGTACCAGGCAATTGAGCCTACTGTAGCTGCGGTCGCAGCAGAAGCACCCAGTGTAAGGTAAAAGGGAGAAGAGGCGGCTTCGGAGGAGCTCGAAGATGCGGCACGCTGGGATGCAACATTAGCAATAGGTCCAATCGATACATGTTTGCGCGCTACTGCAAGGAATCGCAAAGATGGTGGACCGACAGTTGTGGTTTTTCGAACAATGGTTCGGGCAGCGACCCTCAATGGGGCACCGCGGACGGCCGACGTGGCCAACATCATGTCCAGAAGCCGTACGCTCTTGACAGATGGTGGGCTAGCCGTGCGAAGACGAAGAGAGGAGGGCAAGTTGCGGAGGGTGGAAGAGAAAAAGAGTGACTTGGCACAGGTCGTGGAGGAGAGACGATGTCTAGGGTTGAAGCTTGAAGCTACATTTTCCGGGGGTTCATTACGCTCTCTATGATTGGCTGACTCTCCATCTACAAATCCTGGCTGCGGCGGCGGCAGGAACCGCAAAAAGGCCACACGTGATCTGCCAGCGTGATGAAGATTGTAGAGTTCGTCACTCTTCCTTGGACTTGCTGTGAAGACGGCCCTGGTTTGAAGCGCAGACCGACACTTCCTTCCGTCCTCTGCGGCACTCACTGCTGCGGCGCGTGATGTCGCTGCGTGAAAACAAGAATCCATCTTGGAATGACCAGTTCAAGAGCACGAACCAGCGCGACTTCAACACCCAAGTCATCATCTCAGTCGTCTTCGGGCTGAGTGCGTTCCTCTCCTTCTGCGTATGTTAACTTCCACGCTACTTTCGTCCCGATACTGACCACCTGCAGGTCCTCCGCCCCAAGTGGACCAGCCTGTATCATGCGCGCAAGAAAACCTCGGGCGCAGCCTCGCGTTTGCCTGAGCTGCCCAAGTCACTCTTCGGATGGATTCCAGTACTGCTGAGGATTTCGGACGCAGAGGTTCTGGCCTCTGCCGGTCTTGACGCCTACGCTTTTCTCTCCTTCTTCCGATATGCCATAAAGTACCTCTCAATCACCTTGTTCTTTTCTCTCACCATCATCCTACCCGTCAATTACCGGTACACTGGCGAACTGCCCTACCCTCCGATCAATGGCACGGCGCCCTTTATCCAGCCTCCATTTCTATTTGCGGACGACGAGAAGAAACCCAAGAAGCCCAAGATCGAGAAGGATGACAGCTACCTGTGGATGTACGTCGTATTCGCGTACTTTTTCACTTGTGTGGCCATATATCTCTTGATCATCGAGACCTCGACTATTATTCGAATCAGACAAGCTTATCTCGGCACCCAGTCCACCATTACCGACAGAACCTTGCGCCTGTCAGGCATCCCTAAGGAAATGAGGTCGGAGGAGGCAATCAAGAATTTCATTGAAGATCTACAGATTGGGAAAGTGGATAGCGTCATGCTGTGTCGAAACTGGCGAACTTTGGATGAACTCGTGTCGAAGCGCATGACGTGCTTGCGCAAACTCGAACAATCATGGGCAACGTATCTGGGTCATAGCCATTCGCTGCGCCATTCTCGCCGAGCCCACCAGGAACGTGATCTTCTTGATGGGGACGAAAGCGGAGCTCTTCTTTCAAGATCAGAGATGGAAGAAGCTCATACCACGCCTGTGGGTAGAAGACGTCCCACGCTCAGCCTTCGATATGGACCACTCAAACTATACAGCAAGAAGATTGACGCAATCAACTATTACGAAGAGAAGTTGCGCGTCATGGACGAGAGGATACACGCACTGAGAGCCACTGTATTCAAACCGACGCCTTTGGCTTTTGTCACAATGGAATCGACTGCCGCATGCCAAATGGCTGTACAAGCAATTCTTGATCCCAAGCCCGGACAGCTCCTTGCTAGTCTGGCGCCGCCACCGGCCGACGTCGTCTGGAAGAACACATATCTTTCCAGGAATCACCGCATGGTACGCTCTTGGAGCATAATGGTCTTCATTGGCTTCCTTACCATTTTGTGGGCTGCCCTTGTTGCTCCTCTTGCCGGCCTGCTCAGTATTGAGGTCATTGACAAAGTCCTTCCTGGCCTTGCGGCAGCCCTCGAACACCATCAGATTATCCGTTCATTGGTCCAGACAGGTCTGCCAACCTTGTTGTTCTCGGTGTTGGCATTGGCAGTGCCCTACTTGTACGATTGGCTCGCCAATCAGCAAGGCATGACCTCCCAAGGCGATGTTGAGATGTCGGTGATATCCAAAAACTTCTTCTTCATCTTCTTTAATCTTTTTATCGTCTTCACAATCTGGGGTTCTGCCACCACGTTCTACGACTTCTGGCAAGATCTGCGAGACATCCTTCGAGACACTGCAGGAATCGCCTATGCAGTAGCCAAAGCTCTCGAACAACTCTCACCTTTCTATGTCAATCTTATCGTCCTCCAAGGCCTCGGCCTCCTTCCTTTCAGGCTACTCGAATTCGGCTCGGTGGCGTTGTACCCCTTCTACCTCATCAGCGCAAAGACACCCCGGGACTATGCAGAGCTGTCTCAGCCTCCTATCTTCAGTTACGGCTTCTATCTGCCACAAACTATGCTTATATTTATCATCTGTATTGTTTACAGCGTCCTCCCTGCATCGTGGATGATCACTTTATTCGGATTGGTGTATTTCCTTATTGGTGGCTTCATCTACAAATATCAACTGCTTTACGCCATGGAGCACCGCCAGCATTCAACTGGTCGAGCTTGGCCAATGATCTGCAACCGAGTTATTACCGGATTAATCCTCTTTCAAGTGGCGATGACGGGTATCCTGGCACTTCGAGGCGCTCTGACGGCCTCGTTATTCCTGGCCCCTTTGTTGGCGGGTACTATTTGGTTTACTGTATATTTCCAACGGACATATGTTCCTCTGATGCGATTTATCGCGCTTCGAAGCATCGATCGTCCAGGCACGCCCCAGCTTCCCACACCGCCAGAGTCTGCTTGGGACAGAGATACTGAGTATGGGCGAGCTGTCGACACAGATCCGGAAACGGGTCTTCGCTATATCAACCCGAATCTCGTCCAGCCTCTGGAGACCCTGTGGATTAAAAGGCCCGGGCATGGACGTCGCCAGAATGATTGAGGTTGGGAGGGGATATTCGTCCTGGGTCATTCATTGGAGCATAGCAAGCGAAGTATTGAAGTTTATCGTCCGTCCCAGAGATACCCATGTACACAATTGTCACCCAGGCCATTTCCATGCCTCTGGTTCTAATGTAATGTTTCAACCAACATTGGCGATCACGCGAAATATTGCTGACTTAGCAGGTCCCGACATGCTTCTTCTCGTCATGATGCCTATCTCAGAGGGTTGCTGCCTCTCCTTCGTGTCGTGCAGGCGCGGTCATCAGGCATTCTCATGACCGCTCAAGTCGAGGCAGCTGTAGTCACGTCGTTTCGGCCACGTCAGTCAATTATCCTGCAGGCGCGAGTTGACTGCGGCCCAGGTTAGCACCTCACTCTGGTTTCTCCCGGCCTTGACATCAAAGTCCATTTACTTCCTGTTTCCAAACCTATCTCTATCTCGACACACTCTTAATCCCTTCATTTGTCCTTCTCACCTTCTCATTATCACTGCTTATAACCAGTTTAGCTATTCGCCACCCTGGCTCCTGGGTCCTCGTATCTCGAGGAGATTGCATCCTACACGACCACGAATTCAGCATGCTCTACCGGCCTTCGCCCTTCGGCAACACTGGTGACGAACTCTTCTCCACCGGATATCGAGCTGAGATAATGAATCGAAGGCAACAAGGAGCACGCCAAGGTTGATACAACTTGCAGACTATCTTGAGCAGCCGACAGGCTTTGAATCCTGCCGCTGTGTGGGTCTCTCCAATACAGTTCATCCTGGCTCGAGACATCGATGGGCCTCTCAAGATGACTATCAGTCAACGCAACGCCAAGATCGAGGACCAGTCACCCTTCTTTCCACACAGGCTTGCGGCAAGCTCACCCATAATCTTACTGTTCCCCCCCCTGAATTCTGCCCAAGGCAGCTTTTCCCTGCGGAATTTGCTACAGTGAGTCTCACGAAGCAGTCCAGTGCACTCGGCCCTCGTACGGTTCCTCCCATTCTAGGCTTTGAGATTCTGCATTGCACTACAGCTTCAAATCGGGAAATGCACGAGCCAGCTGGTTATGGAACTCAACGACATTGGCCTAGCGTGCTGAATACAATGGATGGTGCATGTGAAGGGGCTGATGACCCAACCTCTGCCACCATCAGCCGAACCTCTAGTTCTGCCGATCTTAGGGCACAACCAATCCGATCGTCAATGGTGCACTTCTTGTCTGACGACCATTTAAACTGGAGGGAAAGGGAGCGTGCTACTTTTGTGAATCCGTTTTCTCCTGAAGAGCTCTCATCAAGAAAGACATCCACCTCCTCTGAAGCCACGGAATACCTCCGCCCCAACGCTTTTGCTGGTCATCGAGACACTCTGGCAAGGCTGACCTATTCCGCTGCTGGTTCTGGTGACGACGAAGATATCTCAGACTGCGATACCGACTCATTTTTGACGGCTCTTACCACTCAGCCGTCAATGGCTGGGATCTCTAGACGGGCCAGCAATGCCGGGGCAAACTTGGACATTTTCTGTCCTCAACGGGTTGTGGAGAATGTGCTCAAGTATATGGCCTTTGATGATTATAAGGCTATGCGACTAGTTTGCCGCCAATGGCATGCAACTCTGCCTCGACCTAGCTTTCCCGGGGCGTATCGTCTTCCGAGAGAAATTCTAAAAGAAGTCTTCTCTTACTTGTCGCCCTCTGACTTTGAGGCAGCCCGTCACACGTGCAGATCTTGGTTCTTAGCCAGCTTGGATCGCAAAGTCCTGGGACCGATGCTCAGAGCCAGTGGTTGTCAGACTGCGTTGGCCATGGATCTTGAACAAGCGCAGGGGCACATCGTTGCGAAGAGACGAAGTTGGGAGACTCGTCTCGGCCCAGGGCAAACCGACGCCGAAAATGTCATCGACAAAGAGTGGCTGTGTTCCAAAAGATTGGCTACGGAAAGTCGACTATCGCCCAATTGGCGAGGCTCTTCTCTATCCGGAGACTCCTTTCCATCGTCTCGACTTTCAATCATTGAGGAAGTTGATTTTTCCAAGATCATGACCTCACATGCTTTACCGAAAAAGACCAGGTTCACGGTATCAGCCTGTGGCAGGTTTGTCCTCGTGGTCTCTGGAAGCGACATATCTGTTTACAGCTTGTCTGATTCTGAGCAGTCACTTGTCCCAGTGGTCAGGCTGGCAACCGGGATTGATGTCTTGAAGGTCAGCATGGATACTAGTTCGGGGCGGTGGTCGGTTGCCGCTCTTCTTGCAGGCCGTGTTGGCATGCTGTGGGACTTAAATGGCAGGCACATCCAAACAAGGTATCGCAACAGTTCCGGCGACACGATGAGTTTGGGAATGCACTCGTACATCCACAGCTCAGTCGACTGCCAACCTTCCAGGGTAGCTAGTATCAATCTACCCATCAGTTCACAAGAAACGCATGTTGGCGATGTGTCTGATTCGGACCTGCCGCCAACGACGCCGGAGAATTACACATCTCTGCCCACTCCTCCATTGGCTCCTCCATTCGTGTGTAATGAGCAGATGTCTAGCTCGGAGAGCCCGAAGGGGATTGAAGATCGCCTAGGGATCTCAATTGAGACCAGGGCGACGGCGGTATTCACCGATCTCGGAAGCGAGGATGATCAGCCAAGAAGCGTAGCGATTTGCCCAAGTGGCAACTCTGTTGCGTTTGGATGTCGGATGGGGCTGGAACTTCACTGGGTCAATGTTCTTGCTGGAGTTCATTTCAGCCGTTGGCTTCCACTTGCCGCGCCGAGTGACTATCTCTACTTTTTGCCTCGACGACGTGGAGTGGACTCAGGGAGGAAGCTCAGACTGATATCAAGTGCCGCGGGACCAGCTGCGCAGCAGCTGGTAAGGAGCGACAGTACGCCAGCCAAGTGGAAGTACTGGCCTACTCCAGCAGCCTTTGGCCGACGACAAAGCTTGACAAGACTCTTCTTTGGCAACTTACCATTCCCTACACCCGCAGGGGATTCAGGGGAATCGTCCAGTTCAGCCAGTCCCCCAAGACCAGATCAAGTACAAGGGGTTCTGCGGACCATTGAATGTGATCACTTTCATGCGATCCCAGTGAGTGACGGGATTCATCTCATTTTCATCCATCCGGGGCATGGATCGTTGTGCCTGGGTAGCGACGCGTCGCTGGGAGGCCCAACGAACCTTGTTTCAAAGATAGTGTTTATTCCTCCTCCTGGGCAGGGCCATCAAAAGCCTACTCCACGTCGCTATGCGGTCGGCAAAGCCCTTGGATGGGGTTTGAGACTCGTCGTTGTCTACGATGATGATCAAGTTGTGCTCTACAGTATTCCTTCTGACGTTTTCGGGCAACTTCAAGATCAGCGAAGTTCGATCGACGTCTGGGACGAGAATTCTGGAGTGCTTGGGCAAAGCGATTTGATCATGGACTCACTGATGAATCGTGACGAAAGCGGTACGCCCAGTGGCTCAGCAGTCCAAGAAACCCCCGAAAACGACGACAACTTTGCTAATGAGCCGCTGCAAGTTGCTGGCTCTGTCATTGCTCGTGTTACCGATCAAGTTGTTGATGACATTGCGGTCTCATCCGAGAATGGCGGACTTTCTGTCTGGATTTTCTACAGAAATGGGCTTGCTGCACTGCACAGCATCTATGCGCGTCGGCGCCAGCAAGCGCGCAGAAGGTTTGTTGGGGAGAACGGCTTCATCTGGGACTGTGACAAAGAAATGTCGGCTGAGGCTAAGAGTGATAGCCCCCTGGCAAAGGGCAAAGAGAGAGCGGATGAGGAAGCCAAGCACGTCAGATGGGCAGGCTAGGAAGATTATCGAAAGAGACACCTGGAAGCATCATGAAACAGTGAGCCGAGATTTGACTCTATGAGATTGTGACTCGGACATGGCCGTGTCGTCTGTAGAGCTCTTTTCAACCCGTGTATGAGCGTATTTGGTAGCTGTGGATAAGCCAGTTGTGGCCGACTGGGGGCTGGTGTCCCTTTCGTATTTATATTTTCACCTGGAGATTGCTGTTGTTCACCTACCTGTTCGAGGACGGGTTCCTTCAGTACTGCATATTTTTTGAGCGAAGCGAGATTGCAAGAGCCACAATATTAATACCCCGTTATATATTGCTTCTCGCTATAATGTGACAGTAATTTCAGTACCGGGCGCTCCCGGGCCGTCTTTGTGCGACTACATCGAGAGAATGCACATATATGGGCTTGGACTAGAACAATGCTCAGGGCTCCATATCCAAAGCCCTCAACAGCGTCCTTCCCAACCGTTCAACTTGCTCCGCCGTCGTGGTCAAACTCGCCATGAAGTAGATCACATCCCCTAAGACACGTGAATGGATCCCACAGCCGTCCTCGTCAAGCAACGTCAAAAGCCGCGATTGCAGCTCCGCAGAGGCTGTCGAAGTGTAGCCTCCCGCTGAACCTTGAGGCTCGGCGAGTTTGAGGACGAGGATTGTGCCCAGTGCGAAACACCCGGCGAGCCGGGGATGGTGGGATAGCTCTTGGAGAAGAGACCGGGAGAAGAAGGAATAGATCTGTGGATTCGTCTGTTTCTGTTTCTGACGGTCGGCGGGCATGGATGGCAAGGACGACAACGACGAGGATGGAGGGGACAAAATCTTGTCACCCGACCAGGCTCGCTTGAACCCGCTCCAGCCTCCGTCCCGGTCCATATCCATACGTCGATACTCGTCCAACGCCTTGTTGGCGACCATGCACCCGATCGGATGTGCCGTGTAAGAATGGCCGTGTAGGAGGGCGTCGGTCTTAGAATCTGAGAGGAACGTCTTGAAGATTGATTCGCTCGCCGTGGTGAGGGCGAGGGGCAGGAGTCCTGCAGTCAAGAGCTTGGCGTGCACCGATACGTCGGGTGCGAGGGAGGGGGGCAGAGCTGGCTGCTGGGAGGTCTCAAGGGTTGATGATGATGGCAATGTTGCTGACGGGTTGAAGTCGGATGGGCAAGAAAGGAAAGACGACGAACTGGCGCGGCCGAGGCGATAGAGGCCCGTGAAGACCTCATCGGCGATGATGGGGAGGCCGGACCAGTCGGTCATTCCACCGTGGTCTTGCTCTTCCTCGGCGTTTTCGGAGGACTGCTTTGTTGGCTCGCCGCCGGCGATCAGGTGAGGGCTGGCTCTGATTGTTTTGATGAGTGTTCTTTGGAAGAGCGGGTCAACGAAGATCATGCCTCCTGCGCCCATGATGATGGGTTCAAGTATGAGGGCGCCGAAACGCCTGCCTTGGTCGCGGACGAGACGTTCAAGGGTCGTGGTGATGTGGGATTCGTACCGCTTCGCGTCGGTTGTCCGAGCATCAAAGTTGAAGATGGAGTTTAGAGAGTCAAACTGTTGCGTCCTGGTCGCGGCGTGCATCTCATCCGGCATCGTGAGTTCCCAAACGCCATTCCGCATAAGGACAGAGGGCGGATCAAACCAATGGCCCCAAGGCTGATGCCAGTCCACCTTCTCGTTGAATACACTGGGCTCAGAGCAGTTCATCACGCCGATGGTGTCGCCGTGATAACTCCCTTTCAAGCCCAAGATCGCAACGGGATTCTTGCCATTGCCGTCGTCTTTGCTCCACCCGTACCGCTGGCTGGAGGCCCGCAACGCCATTTTCACGGCGACCTCCATGCCTGTGCTGCCGTTGTCAGTGAAGAAGACTCGGCTCAGGCGTGGGTTCTGCAGGGTCGACAGGAGGTTGTGGGATATATCGAGGGCGGGTTCGTGGACGGCATGCGCGAACATGACGTGCCCGTAGCGACCGGCTGCGTGGGCCGCTGTCAGCGCAACATTTGGATTACCGTGGCCGAGGCCCTGCGTCCACCATGACGCAGATGCATCGAAGAGGGGTGTAAGGAGGGACCGCGGAGTCGGCGGTGCTGCCAGTGGAGTTAGTCCAGAAGTCGAAGTGGTCTGGCGTTCCGTGAGCGCCGGGTCGGCCTCTTGGTTATAGGTTTGAAAATGGTCTTTGTACGCCGAATCAATTGCGATGATGTTGTGGGGTATTCCATGCTGACGGAACGGATGCCATATCACTGCTTCTGCCTGGGAAGGCATCGACGTAAGCTTGGAGATCCGTGAGAAGTGCTTTTGGTTGAGTAGGTCGAGCAGGTTTCCGGCGGCGCCCGATTTCGACCATCCACCATAGTAGGTCAGAAGTGCTCGCTTGTCCTCTTCGACGTCTTGATGCCTCCGAGGTGGTTTAGGCAAGGCAAATGTCGAGATGCCATGGTTCCGGAAATACGTGTTGAGATAGTCGAAGTTTCCCCACTCTGGGTCGTCAAATAGTACGACCGAGTCAACGTTGTAGCCCCGGACATGCAAAGATTCAAAGGCTGATATGGTGGTCGCGATGCCTCCGAGTTGGCTGTCTCCGACAAGAATCGTTGGCAGTCTCAGTGGTCTGTATAGGTCGGCTTGGACAGTGCCAGAAGGACCAGGTGAGAGGACGCCACCAGCAGTCTCGACGAAAGCATATCTGCCTCCTGTCTCTACGTGCTCCGTTAGAATAGCTTTGGCTCTGGCCAATATTGAGGCGTCTGATCTGGGTATCTGGAGCTTGTCAGTCGTCACAGGGCCAGGCGTTCAGATGGCCAAGGTCTCGCACCGTTTCATCTTGGTCCAATTGAGCCGCCAGATGAGGGCTCAACGGGCGCGAGAATTGCGAGATGTACTTTGAAACAATTCCAGGTACAAAAGCGTCAACATGTCTGTGGAGATACGTCAGGAGCGGCCAGGACAGCGGATGTTGAATGACGCTTACCCTACATCTGCCTCCCCCTTGGGACCAGTAGAAACGGGCTTCAAATACAGCACCCGGCGCTCAGGGTTCTGTAGAGCCCGACACAGCAGCGTCGAGACAATGGTCTTGCCAACATTGGTATTGGCTCCGAAGACCTGCCATGCCTTCAGGTCGCGCCACAGCATCACGCCCACACCGATGAGAGGGAGGAACACGGAGGAAGAGGCGTGGCCGACGTTCGGGGGCAGAATTGGTGCGTCGCTGACCGAGGCAGCGAGGCAGATTTGTTCCTGCCAAGAAAAGACCCGCTTTTCTGTCCTCCGGGAATTTCCGACCCTCCGATTGGACGCTGAAATGCTGCTTGGATCGCCATCTCATCGAATGCCCGGGACCATCAGCTCCAGTTGTTGACCCAACCAGCCCAACATTTCTCCATCCTCGGCCAATCCATCCAGTTGCCTTGGCTCCGACTACAAAGCAGGACGCGACGAGATCCTTTTCTGTGATTTTCGCCACAGCAACTTCTGTGATCCGACTTGAAAGCATCAGACCAGTCAGCCATGCCGCCATCCCCTTTGGAAGAGCGCCTTTCCGCTCTCCTGGAAAAACGTCGATCGCAGTCAAAGCTGCGGAACCTGAAATCGAGTCCGCCCGGCTCGGTAGACTTCTCTTCCAACGATTTCTTGTCCCTGTCTACAAACAAGGGGTTTCAGGATGATTATCTGGCGGTTCTCAATCGCAGCCGCACGCCCATTGGATCAACAGGATCAAGGCTTTTAGACGGCCACTCTGAAGTTGCCGAAAGCCTCGAGCGTGACATTGCTGCATTTCATGGCGCCGAGGCTGGCCTTCTGACGAACTCGGGCTTTGATGCCAACGTCAGCATCTTTACATTTCTTCCTCAACCGGGGGATGTCATCATCTACGACGAACTGATCCATGCGAGCGTCCACGATGGTATGAGGCAATGCAGGGCGAAGCAACAGATATCCTTCAAACACAATGATGTTGAAGACTTGAGTCGGATATTACAGCAATTTTCTTCCTCGAGTCCGAGTCAGACCATTTTTGTCGCCGTGGAGACAGTGTACAGCATGGAAGGGGACCTTGCCCCTCTGACAGAGATTGTCAATTTGATGGAAGCCATACTACCCCACAACAACGCCCACCTGGTGGTTGATGAGGCCCACGCTACAGGGGTTTATGGGCCAAATGGCTCTGGGAGAGTCTGTGAACTTGGACTTGAAAAGCGCGTGTCAATCCGTCTTCATACGTTCGGCAAAGCTCTTGCTTGCAACGGCGGTGAGTGTCCCAGCATGCAATGTCAATGAACACCGTTGGGCTGACGGGATCAAAAGCAATCATCTTGTGCTCTCCCATTATTCGACTCTTCCTTATCAACTACGCGCGACCGCTAATCTATACAACATTTATGTCCTACCCTTCGCTTCTTGCAATAAAGACGGCATATGAATGGCTCAAAATGGGAAAAGCGAATCTGGTAAGGGGGGCCCCCTCTCTGTTTTCTCTGTCTCAATTAACATGCCTGTTTGAAGCTTGCTGCCAACCTCTACCATCTGATCGATCATCTCTACACAAGATTGCAGACCTTGGCAGGCGTCGCCGGGGAGAGTGGCCCAGTTTCTCAGACTCTTGTCACGCTTCCAACAACATGCCCAGAGTCGCCCATTTTCGCCATCCTCAGCCCGTATCCTCGGTCATTGGCCGCGTACTGTCAATCGGCGGGGTTTATCGTGCGTCCGGTCGTGGCCCCTACGGTTCCCAAGGGTACAGAGCGTGTGAGGGTGTGCCTACATGCGGGGAATACCGTAGAGCAGATCGACCGGTTTGTCGAATGTGTCAAGCAATGGATCGTCAGTGAAAGCACGAGGGACTTGCACGCAAAGCGTCTAATCACTCCACAAAGTCACGCCGTCAGTCAACCAGTAGGACTAAACATGGAGAGAAGCCTTGTCGCAAAATTGTAATCTTAAGCCGTGTTCTGGCGAAACTCTGCACCAGCTGACAGTTGACCGGCTTTGAAGCCATCGCAACGACGATGGATCGAGGGAAATTGCGAGCTCAACTTTCCCGTTGTACAGTACCGACATCGAAACACGAACAAGATGTCTGAAAGGTCGTTGTCAAATTTGTTTCCCTAAGTATTCACCATGGTGGACTGGCAGCTCCATCGCTCTGCAAAAAGTCCCAATATCATCCCAGTCGCTCTTCATTTGTCCGGCCCACGGGGCCACCATGGTCCTCACACACTTTTCCCTGACTCGCTTCCCATGCCTTTGCATAGATGCCCATTTCCTTGACGAGGCCGTTCCTCTTTGGTTCCCAACCAAGCAATTCTCGCGCTCTGGCACTGTCACATTGAACAGTTGCACCCAGTGGTTGTAGAAAAAGGTGATCCCCCGGTCCAACAAGCTCCAATTCCAGTTTACCGCCCTGCCCTTTCATCGAGCTCAATGCCCGCGCAAACGCCGAGAGGATGTCGCGGATGTTCTCGGTTGTCGAGACTAGGTCGAAGACAGGATACACAGACGTACCTCCTAGCAGGGAGATCTTGCCCAGTCCACAGCGCACGGCCGACGCCACGTCGTCGACATGAATGACTGGCGATTGTGACGTTGGCGCAACGGGGACTTGGAGGTGGCTCTTGCCATCTGCTACCGCCTGAGCAATCGGACCCCACAAAGCAGTCCAGTCAGAGTTGCTGCGACCATGCATCTACGCGGGCCGGAAGATCAACACGTCGAGCACGTCTCAGGCAGCCAAGACCTTTCGCTCCAGCTCGGGTCGCCACGCCACAAGATGCAGCGGCTGTGTCGGGGCTGACTTGGCCCCGACCGGATCCATGTCGGTGACAGGGCCGTCTGAATTCCCGTGGACCCATGCGCCGGAAATGTATATGAAGCTGATCTTGGGAGGTGCCGCAACTTCTTTTGTCCTGAAGGTCTCCAGGTACTCTTACCCGACCTTTTTGATATCGGCGAGGAATTGGGCGCTGTCGCCGTACGTGGCAGTGCAGTCCACCACGGCGTCGATCCTGAAACTTCGAACTGCGTTCAGCTAAGAGTCGGGTGCATTCACCGGGTCCTCGCACATGACGAGTATGATTTCAGACGCTGTCAGAGATTGGGCCTTGGAGGCAGACCTGCAAAGGCCATACACCGTGTGCAGGCCGCTCCGCACAAGCGCTTGAGTGGCCGCTTGACCAAGATATCCTGTTGCGCCAAAGACCAAAACTCGAGGCATCTTGATTTTCCCGGGAAGGCATTGGCCTGAAGATGACACGCTTTGTCAGGCTTGATCGCAGAAGCTTGTCCCCAAAAGAAAGATTTTGGCTGCTCCAGACGGAAGTCGCCACAATACCCTACTTCAGCTGGGGGAGCAAGACTTTTATATATACCATGCCCTTTCCCAGGCCGCAATGCATGTCCTGGCACGAGTGGCAAATCAAACAAATAATCTCGACACTCGACCTCTAATGGCTTGTCACATTGCAAGTAAACCCGTCCCCTCGGCCAACGAAGCAACGGAGTCGGTTACAACGGGAGACTCGAAGGGCCATGATTTGTGGGAGGCAGGGGACAATCAATGCGCGACGTGTCTGAAAGACGACGAAAAGAGACAGTCAATGGATATGATCTAACTACATAAGCAACTTATGTCAGCTGCATCTCAGAGCGATGGCGCGAAAGAAGCGTTGTTCTTGTTGAAAAAGCCCCAAACTTGTTGCTAAGTCAGCTACATGTTGCCCTGTGCCCGTCTTGGATATTATATCACATCGAGTCTTGTGTTGTCCTAACTCGGGAACGCTTCGTGCTTCTGGGTGGCGGTCGATTTGGACACGGCGGCGTGGATGGGCTATCGGTTGGATGCTGATCACGGGGCAGCCGTAAACGTCGACGTCACCGTCAACGTCGAGACTGTGACCCGTGTGTCCAAGGACGAAAAACAACCCAAGCATGCTACTGCTGCCGCTGACTAATGAGAATTATCTGGCGTTCCTGCATCGGCGATGAACAGCGGCATTGATCCCCTGATGCTCAACTTGATGGTGCACCAGCGGATAGGGTGTGTCAACCCAAGCGACAAGTCGTGCCTTGTGGGTGCTGCAGTCGAGGAGGGAGTGTATGTATGAGTTGGGCCCCCCAACAAACATCTGCCTCTTTGCAGCAAGCAAGCGGGGCAGCCATTGGCTAGCGAGACCTCCAGCCTACATACCCGGTACAAAGTACATACATATTGCTAGGTATGTAGGCAGGGGTATTATTATTATCGAGCCTATCAAACAAGGGGCGAACCTGCAAACGAAGCGCACTAGCCTCACTCACCATGGGTACCCAGCGAGCTAGGTAATGGGTAGGTCTGTCCCTGTCGCGCGAATCGCCTCCTGCTTGGCAAAACACGAATACGAGGCTAGCTGCGAAAAGTAGCGGGGAGCCGCTTTGAGGATTGGCTCGGCCCCCAAAGTCTGGCCATCCTTTGTTCTCTTTGCCTTATGGTTCTTGCCTCTTGCCTCTTGCCTCTTGCCTTGTTGCAGGTGAGCATCAAGCCAGGATAGCAGAGGCGATATACTAGGTCTATCGTCTATCGGTTACGGTTTTGGCTTTCTCAGCCGCGGCTGGAATGTCGAAAAAGCTGCCTGCACAGGCCGCGGATGAATGGCGAGAGGAGGAGGGATAGTAGGGGGAGAGCAAAACACCCACAGAAAAGAGAAAGGGCGTATTAGTGCCCACCAACGTCTGAGAACGTCTAGCGCGTCGGGTTATCTTTGATCTCGAAGACACAAGTCCCTTTTCCCGTCGAAACATTAGAGCCATTCTTGAACCACCCGCGACGGCAGGGTAAGGAGTGTCGTCATGTCATGTCGCACAATCATGTCGCACAAGGCTGTGGGAGCCGTTGCTTGTGCGACGGTCGGGTACTTCGACATGCCCCTGTTGAAGAGCAGGTGGGGTCCTGCGACAGTTGGGCTGAAACTTGTATTGCATGTTAGCGAACGTGCTCCACGGCCTCGTTAGTCGAGGCCGTGAGCACATGTCACAGAAACTTGCCTTGAACTCCTCCGGTAGGAGACTCCTGAGTGGCCGGCGGCGCTGCAATCTTTGAACTGGGCTTGAACACATAACGAAGGTGGTCTCGGTGCTGTGACTGACGTGGTTCCGTTTTTGAAGTTTCCCGGACATCAGTTGTTCGATCCCTAGATAAGCGCAGAGTCCGACAATTCCGTGGTCGATCAACTTTCGCAACACTGCTCGGTATTGCCAAGCCGTCACAATATCCTTTGTCAAATCAACCCCGGTATGCTGTCCGGCGTTGGGTGAGAGGGCCCATGTCTTTCCAGCGAAGGCACCTTGTAAGGCTTACAATGCTGGGTCGAGGAAGGTTATCTTGTGGAGAGATTGGCGAAAGGGGCAGGGGCAGGGCAGGGGCAGGGACTGGTAGCTGGGTCTTCCAACTCTGCGAATGTCGTCTGTCTCCCTGCCGACTCGTCAGCAAACAGCAGGGAAGAGGTCAAGGTAGTACCTAGCATCCACAAGATCTCCCACCCAATGGATTTACACCTCCCCCTCCCCCAAAAAAAAGCCACCAATTCCGTGTACCCGGACAGTCCTACCCTGTCAGACATCTGATCAAGATCATATGACCGATTTGTACGTTGATCCCCCTACAAGTACAGATCGCGTCATGGAAGCTCTGTCTTTGCGAGGGTAGAAGACGGTGTGCATCGTGCTGCGATCAGCTGCCACGAATCATGATGAAGGGGAACGAGAAAAAGACAGTGGGGTGGACGCATCGTCCGGTACTGGGCGTACAGTACGGTCAGCCAGACAAGGGTGCAGACGACATCTCTTTCCCCAACCAGAGCTGTGGGCACCCGGAGGTCCGGCCTGAAGAGTTTTTGCAGCCCTGGGCGTGGGCGAATGATGGTTGCCCGTGAGTTCCAGATGCTGTCGACGAATGGCCAAGTCGACGCAGACACTTGGCGACCTGATGGAGCGCGCTCTGGGAAGAAACGCAGTGTGGCTGCGGTCAAGGGCCCATCTGGGGAAACAACAGCACCCAGTGGGTCTAGGTCAACAAGAGGACCAGGCGACCGCGCTCCATTTCTTTCCAGGAACTGCTGTGTGAAATGGGGAAAGGAAAAGCCCACGAAGCTGGTCAGCTCGGCCTGGTCGATGATGGTCCAGGTATACGGGTACGGCTGCAGGGTTGAAGCTCGACGACGGAGGTTGTCCGTTGTCTCATCCGGTCTGGTGCGATATAGGGAGAGGAAGGGAGTGGAGGGGAGAGGAGGAAGAGAAACAAGAGAGGGGAAAAATGGGAAAAGAGGAAAGAACAGACGAGACTCACCTCTTGAAATTCCCAATCCGTATCCCCATCCGCTTTGCTCGAGGGAGGCAGAGGGCAGGCAGATGCACAGAGAGAGAGAGAGAGAGAGACTTTGGTAAATAGAGTTTTATTCGGAAGCTTGGGAGCTGGAAGCTGGCGGCCGGAAGACCCACTCTTGCGCGCCCCGCCGATCACGACAGAGGAGTGGATCGCGCCATACCCCCCACTGGCCCCAACGAGACAAGCTCGAGAGCAAGGTTGGTACAATCACACAGCAGGAACATTACCCTGGGGATGCAACTCCCACGACTACTAACCGCTCATTCACCTGCCCATTTCCGTTTCTAGTCACTTCTTCCCTTCCTTCTTCTTCTTTCGTCTGTGATCTTTCCCTTCCTTGTGGCCTCGTGACCAAACTCTGGAAGAACCGTGCAGGAATCGGCCAAAGCTAACAGCGGCATCGGCCGTGCACCGACACCTACCGTCAGCCTCTGTGCCATCCTACTATGCCATTCTCTGGGTTCTCCAGACGGTCGTTGATGAGGCGGGAAAATGACTCTGACCAATTCATACTCTTCGTATTGCATCGCTCATCACGCCACCCGTATATTACATAGTGCTACCTAGGTAGTCATTTGACTCAGTATTCTGTTTCCTACTGAAATTTTTTGCCCCATAGGGCCGTGGTCTCATGCATGATTTTCCCCCCCCCCCCAATTGCCAGAGCTCCAATATATCACTTTTTCGTCCATATCCTCTTGCACTGTTGCCTCTGCGCTGCTCCAACTGTGAGAGGGCTCGCGACAGCTCTGCCCTTCAAACGACAGGCGAAGGACGGCCCATCACTTTTTCGGCTCCGACATTGGCTCCTTCACGTCGAAACAGACCGGCCGGAAACAAACGCCCTGCGACCTGAAGCCGTCACAACTTGCTCTGCCCTGAGCCAATGACGTGTCCATTGACAAATGACGGGACTTGGTTCGAATTCAACTCGTAGAGTATCTGAAATAAAACTTGTCTGTTGACCCGACAGCTCTCGCCTGGATACAGGGGCGGACTGAAGCCCGTCGAAAGCCGAGCTACGATGTTGTCCATCTCTTCTGGCGTTGGATTGTACTGTGCAATCATGTCTTTCGCCACCGAGCAGGAAATGCTGTTGCCGTCGTCTGTACAAAGTGGCCCGTTCGACGGTACAAGAAACGCCTGACGCACAAACGAGTTGTCGTTGGGTCCGTGTGCTTTTTCGCCGTGCGGCGGGAAGTACCACTCGCAGGACGTGCTTGCGAGGGGATTTGCCGCCGCCGCTGCTGCCGACATTGTGGTAACAGGAGCCGTCGAAGGGCCCATAAGGTCATAACAATACTGAGTGTCGTAGAATGGGAAGTTGCCAGCGGACACAAGAGGTGGTGTCGTGCAGTAGGGCGAAGGCGACGGGGTCAAACAAGATGCAGCACCGACAGGGTTCTGCATTCCTGTTGCCGAAGGATTGATGGCCTCGGGGATGGATAATTTTGGTCTCAGTTCTCGAAAAGAGGCTGCCGTGAGACCACCAGGACGTTGAAGGGTCGTGTCTCCCAGAGGAGTTTCTAGCAGATCTGGATTGATGCCCGCATTCTTCAAAAGATGTCGCAAACGAGCATTTTCGGCTTGAACTTCACTGAAAGCTGTCCGTTGCAGATCGGCTTCACGGCAGGTGTTGCGGCATTGTTGCAACTGGTGCTCGAGCTCGGCGATATATTCCCGACGTCGAGCACGGCTCCGTCGTTGGTTATCGCGAACTCGCTGCTGCTTGGATATGACAGGATTGATTTTAGTGCTTCCTTCGCTGCCTTCGGACTCCATGGGCAGCCAACATCGAATTCACGATTGATCAACCGGAAGGTATATAGAATTGTCTGTTTGGATGGGAGGGGGGG